CACTATTTTGACCCAAAAATCCAAATTTGAAGAAAATTGCCGACCCGAAGGTATACTGTAACCTTAACTATATTTTACTGGCGTGACAGTAAAATCTCATTTAAACAATTGTTATCAATCAAGTCAATACTGGAGTATGTAAGTCCAGAAAACCTCATTTCAATGAGTTTTTGCAGTTCAAAAATTAGCGTAATATATACCTTTTAAGAATTGAAGAACTGCAAATTTGACAGATTGGTCCATCACTTTTAAGACCTCAATTTCCACCTTTAACATGATTTGGTATTCTTTACATAGTGCCACTTCTTTCTCAAATTTTGACTCAAAAACAGCTAGTTTCTGTCATAGAAGGATATATAGGTAAGCAGGCAGGCAGGCAGGTAGATACGCGTGCATGCATGTCTGTATATATATATTGAACATTGTTGCAGTGGCCACAGTACACCCCATTATGATGTTTTTACCCACTCCATGCAAGCACAATTTCTTGAGAATTCTTACTGTACAGAAGATATAAAAATGTGAGCAACAAAAAAATCTGACTTGTTCTACATTCAGGAGTGAATGTTCCAGAATGGTAGGGGAAAGTCAATGCAAAATGGAGCACTGAAAGAAAGCTCTCAGCGTGCATTATCCTAGCTTATTTCTACCCAGTACTGTATTGTCTTTATGCTATCATTACATGTATATGATAACATGTATATCAAATATATCACTATGCTCAACTCAGTAGTGAGTCTCGCTTTATCTTTAAAGATCAATGTGGAAAAGTCGCTGTACCTGTGGAACAACCAATCCATGTGCATTTCACTGAGGATGAGAAAGTATCTCAACGGGATGAAGATGATGATTTACAAACAGAAACAGTCAAAGAAAAACTGAAAACTGGAACTGATGAAGGTACACATGTGGATCATTTTGGCAAACCAGCTGAAACAGTGTCTTCCACAAGCTCTGGTAATAGCGTTTCTCTCACTTGAAATTTTTTTGTCATTCATTTTTTGGAAACGAGACATACTTTAAAGTTCTGGAAGTCACAACCCTTTGAGTAGCGATCATCTGAAAGTGGAAACTAAGTTATACATTTCACAGCAAATAATGCAAGCAGCAAATTTCCAAAGAGTGATTACCCTAAGAAACGTACTCAAATACAATTTGGCTTGTCATGAGAAACGATGAAAACAACAGACAATTAACAACCTGAGCCGAGGTGATATATTTGTTTTAGATGACCTTTGACCCTGAGTACAAAGGCAATGTATCTAAATCTAAATGTTTACTGTTTGAAAAATCTCCAAGCAATATATATTTGCATAGACAACGGGCACTGTCAGCAGCTACAGTAGTGACGTTTACATATAGGGGAATCCTTAATAAAGTGTATTATCGTTTGTCTCACGATGTAGTCACTTGAGATGTAGATTGCGACGTTTCGACTACTTACTGCTAGTCTTCTTCAGGCGATAAGGTCGACTGATTGCACGGTATCATTTA